TTTTTTTTTTTTTTTTTATCGGAGAGAGATACGTACTCACTTATTATTCATACGTTATACATTCTTTGTTCGATGTTTAATATCATTAGACACGTGAGGCATCGTCGCGTCATTCGTGAAAAAGAAAAACAAAAAAAACAAAAATACTTGATAAAAAAAATCTATTGTCATACTGGGCACCTTTCTCACTCTTTGCGCGGTTTAAAATCCCACTTGTTTTGATTCTTGTGAAAAATCAGGTAAAAAGTCTTTGCTATAAGTTAAAATATACATATATATCATCTGATCGTAAACTCTACTCGCGTTTCCCTAACAACAATGAGTATTGAGATTACACATCCGTCCGCTCTCTTTCTCTTTCTCTCTCTCTCTCTCTCTCTCTCTCTCTCTTCTTACATATATCATATATGTATACATGACCTCATAAATACATCTATAATGGCTAGATCTTTATAAAAATAAAATTAAATAAACATATAAAATATATATACGATACATATATATAATTTGCAGTGTCGTGTTTTTTAAAATTAATTAGATTAAAATTAATTTATATATATATATATAGAAACTATGCCATCTCTCTAAAACAAAGTGCGTACCTACGTATTGCGTGTTTCTCTACGACATATTAAATATACATACAAGCTAAATGATATTCGCTCCTTTTGCTGTGCTCTTTTGCGGGGGCGTGAAACGCGCGCGAAAGGAGAAGACAAAAAAATAAAAAAAATAAAAATAAAAGAACAAAAAACATTTTTCTTTCCACGCATAGTCTTGTCTCGTTTGAAAATTTGCTACAAGTAAACGCTAGAACCATCAGTCCTCAGAATATTGTTTGGTCCCTGGGTATATATATATGTATATATATATTCTCCCTCCACCTACTGTGTCTACCTAAAAAACCCTACGTATATGTAACATTTATATAAAGACTACCTATCACCAGCCATTGTAAAACGTTTGCGTATGGCGTGTCGTGCGATAGATTATTAATTTGATTTGCGTTTTTTGAATGGAAAAAACAAAAGAGATATCGTTACACGAGTTTTCTAAAAACTGCTCGCTAATTTGATTGCTATCGTACAATCAAACGACGGTTATTATTTATCACGATTGATTCCTTTAAAACTCCTGTGCAATTACGCACATTTGTCGCGATTACAATTAATACGAGAGCTACACCTCGAACGAGTCTCGCGATCGAGTGTTTTTTTTTCTTTTCGCTTCCTTTTTTCTTCGGGTAACTACTATCACTGGGCTGAACGCGCGACTCGCGCGTAACTCGCCGAAGTCGTCGTCGTCGTCGTCGTTGCAACGAGCGCGATCAGAGGTAATGTCTACGCGATTCTCGTTTGGATGAGGCACAGGATAAGATTATTAAAAAAAAAAAAAAAAAAATACATATAAAAACACGATGTGGTGTGAGTTTCATAGGTGAGGTGGACGGATCGAGAGTTTATTATTAGTTGTTTAGTCAGCGTGTGTTAGATATCAACCCGAGGGATTTGATTAGGATTCTAGTGGTGTACTTCGTAGTTACGATAATCATTCGCTAAAAATATAATTCAAGTCAAGAGATTAAGAAAAAAAAACTAAAAAAAAAAAATCAAGAGACAGAAAAGACGCGGGCTATGAATAGCGTTGTTACGATGTTAAACGTTTAAACCATCACCGTTTCCATTGATTAATTATCGATTGAAAATTAGTCAAGAGTGTGTTTTCCGTTTTCTTTTCAGTAAAAAGAGAGAAACGCGTCTCAGAGCTGCGATAATTTCACGCGATATATCGACGATATACACGCCTTTTTTCGAAATTAAAATTACGACGGAAAACAATCTAAAAAAAAAAAAAGCTTCAAAAAAGGACGTCCCTATTATATGTATAAATATATAATAATAATAATAATAATAATATCTATCTCTCATATCTCTCTCTCTATATATAATGTACTTCAATAAATATATATAAACCTCTGATATATGCATGTATATATGTATATGCGCATATACATAATATATAACCGCATATACGTGCAACAACTACACAACAATGAATGGCCTTTGATTATTGCATTGAGTATATATAATATAACGCGATATATAACGGATCTTCTCGTCGATCGTAAGAAAATCCATTGTACAAAAATACACACGTATGCGTATTATTTCATCGGTGTGTCGAGCGTTTTTTTACGGTCACGTCTGCACGCCGTAAGGACGCCGTTGCACGTTGACGAGCCTTTACCAGAGCGGGTAACTGGGATAAATAATTGCTTTTGTTTTGTATATTGCGGAAAGAAGGTCGCGCGCGTCTCGTTCTTCCGTGTGTATCGCGAGGAACGCGCAGGATGAAGCGGGAATAAATCTGCGCGTTTTTTTCACGGATCAGTTTGTTTGCGAGAATATTCGCTCGAATTCAAATGTCGCGTCGCTGTTCGATCTTCGAGAGACGTAATTTTATAAATGCTAATGAGAAGACGGAAGAATTTCGCGCGTGTTTCTTCCAAACAAGGCCGTTCTCTTCATGCAATACCTAAAACGCGACTGTCCTAGCTAACGGTTTCCCCACACCACGACGTTGTAAAAATTCCCGAGAGCACACAATCGTCCGCTGTACACCTCGCTGTACATCTTCTTCTGGCACTGTTTTAACGTTTGATGTGTGTTGCACTGTGCGAAATTTTCCCATAAACGAGGAGAGCTTATTGACAAGAAGACCGCAATTCTCGGCTTTATATGTATATGTAAAAAAAAAAAAAATAATAATAATAATAATTTCAGACTAGTATATCTGCGTTACTTCTCTTCTTTTGTTTCTTCTACTTGTATAGTCTACGCGTTTGTGATTAAAAAAAAAAAAACAAAACAAATCCTGCCAAATACGGCTTACCTATCTCGCGTCTTACCGCTCTATCATATCCACTTTGATTAACCCTGAATCTTCTCGTATAGTATTCCTCGTATAATATTCATAAATAATTATTCTGAAGGCGGCGCACGTATATAATTTACGCTAAGACTCTATGTAATTATTATACATCTGAACGCGACTAGTAAATGACTGATTTCGGTTGTTCTATAAATCTAACCGGTTTCTGGTGTATCCGGTCTTATATCCTCACGAAGAAATATTTTGCTAATATACGACGACGATGATGATCGGGATAACGAAAACGACGATCGATAACGTGACGAAAAATAACGATGAGGATGATGCAAAGTTAAGAATAAAATAATTAACGGCTATACAAAAGAGCTCGCAATTAAAATTGATCATCTTATTATTATTATTTATAATTTACGCGATCGCATAATACGTACTACGTATTATTGGTGACGCTCCAGGCGGTTTAATCAACATGTATATACGTCGAAATTATTATCACATTCGCGATATTGCCCAATTTCGTTCAATCATTGCACATTATTTGATTCGACATTCCAATTAACAAAACAAATTTATGTGAAACACGCATAAAAGTTGTAACCGAGCGAAGATTAGGTGCGCGATTAGACGAGCAATTTTTTTTTTTTTTAATATTATCTGTTGTTGCAGTTGATTAAAATAACGCGATAAAATCAACAAGAGTAAAACACTAGCTTCGGTATGAGTAAAAATAGACAATCAACAACAGTAATTCTTGGAATCATTTAACTTCGTACGCCGTCAGCCTTGGTAACGAAAGAAAGCTAAGAATAGACAAACGATGTGATTAAATGTAAAACCAAAACGGAAATTATACGTATGTATAAAAAATATACATACAAGAAATTTATCTCGACATTTTGAAGTATACAAATAACAAAAAAAAACACTAATAATAAATGATGGATTACATAATCGACCGAAGTGCCTCGGTCGACCAGAAAAACTGTGTCTTCGTTGATAACGGCAATTCCACTTAATAATGCTCGTCTAAACTCGAGACTCGCGAGATAAAACAAAACGCGAAAAACACAAACTGTCACTGAATCAGAGACAGAGAAAGAGAGTCACCAATATCATCGGCGTGCGTGACGTATTATTTATCTCATCTGAACAATATTAAAATATAACGATACATATAAAAATGTTCATAATAGCGCTACTACTAATATCGCTAGCAATAATATTTAACCCCGTTTCCTTTATCTCAATGCGTATGTATCTCATCTCTTTTTTGTTCAAATGTTCTAGCGTATGTTTTCCGAACGGCGTTTCTTGTTCTAGAGTGATTTTCGTCAACTGGGTTCCTTGTTCTCGCGTAATTTTCGCAAACTGCTCGAGAGAAGAAAAATAAGAGGGAGAGGATAACGTTCCCTCCCTCTGTCGCGGATCTAGTCAACGAGCAAATAACCCACCAGAATGATCCGCAGTGGCGTACTCGGTGAGCAGAGGCGACGCGGCCAAAGCCGCGTAGTTGGCGTAATCCGCATACGGCGTGTAGATGAGCCCGTGCGGATCGCCGGCCGACAGCAGAGATCCAGGTGGTCCGGAACCGTTCAGCAGAGACGCCGCGGTCGTCGGCACGGATATTCGCGGCGAGAGGATCAACGGCGCGCCTAAGGGAGCGCTTGGCGTTCGCATAGGATTCGCCAGACCCGGTAACAGACGTTGCGTCTCCGCCGCGGCAGCGGCCACTCGCCGCCATTCCTCGTCGCAGGCTGCAACAGCGAATCCTGGCTGAGTTATTTTTTTATCTTTTCTCTATTTTACATCCCACACACCTTGTTAATTAACAATTACACTTCAAATCGTTACAATTACAAAGCATAATAAAATTTACACGGCAAACAGATTTTTTTGGAAAAAAAAAAACTTCTCCGTCTACAACTTAGATACTTTGCATATGTGTGCGTTATGGGAAGTGAGCACAATAATGAATTTATTTATCGAATTAACGGGACGGAATCCCTTGGGAGTGTAAGTTCTGCGAAAGGTACCTGCTGCGGCGGCAACCTTTGTGTTCGAATCCCGGTAAGTGCCATTGATAATGGCGAGTTCCATTAGCTGCCTTTTCTTCAGCTCATCCTCGCCATCAGCCTGCTGAACAATCGACATTACCGTCAGAACGTACCATCGGAGGCGCAACGATAATTATCCTACGGAAGCCCGCGGACTATCGCCATTGTATAGGTCTTGCTCATTAACATACGAAAGCGTTGATTGCATCACTAAAAACGTTGTACGCACACAAAACCGCTTACTTTCGTAAGATATCGACTCTCTCTCTCTCTCTCTCGACGTTATCGGTGATTACACAAATCGTTTACAAATTGTCATCGTTGTGGAAAAATTTGATTACTCGCGAGTGATCAAAGCAAGCGAAACAAAAAAAAAAAAAAAACTTTCTAGCAAAATCTTTCTAACGAGGATCTTTCTCTTCTTAGTTAAAGCTGATTATAACGCGGCGTGGTATAAAATTGTACAGTTGGAACTTTCTCACCACGGGCACAAGAAGTTTCTTGACTTCCTCGACGGCTCGTGCGAGCTTCAAGGTGGCACGATTCTCGGTGTCCTCGACGGTAAGCAACACGTGCAACTCGTCCGTTAGATGTTCCCAGTTCGGTTTGCCTCGATTTTGTTCCTCCTACAGAGTTAATCATCGTTTTTATATACGCGCGCAACAGAATCGAAGTTATAATATAAACGTAAACGCAAACGATAACGCAAAGACATAAAACTCACAAAATTGTGTGAAAAAAAAAAAAATAAACAACACACGAACGCATCTACTATAAAATAATGTAAAACTAAAGATTTTTTTATCACCAAAAACGAAACAGAAAAAATTTATATACTGTGTTTGTGTATCTTATCTTCTTTGTATATTCCAGAGTTTCATTAATCAAATGAATAGCGATTTAATAATCAGTGTGGAACACATTCAATGCGTGATAGACGAGAAAAATAAAAGATACATCGTATTGCCATCGAGTCACATGTACTTACAGAGAAAACACTTCGCTCTCGTATATACCACGTGCAGCTTGAAAAAAAAACACACACAGCGCTCGGTTTAATAAATCACTATTACATGACTCACACCCGCGATTAATTCTCTGTGTGATCGCATTCGTCGCTGCAACATCGTTTCTCGATTCTCATCATATTTTCCAACTATTGTTGTTCCCAAGTATTGTTGTTAACTCGCATTATATTTATTTTGAAAAGTGAATCAGATCAATTAAGAACACACACACACACACACACATACACAAACTTTCATTCATGTAATTCTTAGTTAATTGTAATTTCCAGTAAATTGTTGAGAATCAAACATTACCACAAACACACAGACGTGTCACAAATATTGATTTTTTCATACACGCTTGTTAGCGACAAAAAATTATTGTTTACTCGCTCAAGCAAGTTGCAAACCGTCTCCCGACGAATTTTAAGCGAGAAATATCGGACGCTCGCTCGGAATAACAGCGACTCGAATTCTTACCTTCTTTTTATCCCTCATTGACCCTTTTCCGCGGACCATGATTTTGCATCCTGTCTCTTGCTCCAATTGTTTAGCGGTCATGCCCCGTGGCCCCAAAATCCTTCCGACAAAGTTGAACTGCAATCACATGCGACACAACGACGCTATTGAATGCTGAATACGCAATCGTTATTTTCATTGTAGGGAGAAAAAAAACACGCTTTCAAAATTCGCCGAACGTTTTTTCGTTAGTTAACGAGCCGGGGAAGCACCGCGCGGAAAACAGATCCGGAATGATTTCGCGCGAATTTATGCAACAGGTATTATTATCCCTCGGAACACTTGCGTTCGAAAAAAAGGTTTGTAAAAAAAAAAAAAAAAAAAACACTTGTGTGTACACACGTTTTCTTTTAGAAAATTCGAAATTGTGAATACGTGTACATATTAATCCGATTTTGATGCTCCAAAACGTATGAAACACGCGCGCTCCGAATCCACTAAATTTGGCGATCTGTCTCGATCATCAGTCGCGCGTGAAAAAGAGAGAAAAACTTGTTCTCCACGAGATATCCAGTTTCATTGTTGGGTCCCGGTAAATAAAGGCGGGGTAAATTTAGACGGTGAATCATTCACAAACGGTGCTCTCTAAGTCTCGCGCGGCTGCCAGTCTCCATTTTTTACACAAATATTGTTTCAGAAAGAAAGAGAAATGCGCGTCGTCTCTCTTTATGTTTAATAAACAATCGAGGAGACGTGTGCGAGATATATGTCACCGGCGGAGTGTCGAAATGCCCGAAAATCGGGAAAAATCTCTCGAGAGATGTCGCGCGTTTTTTTTTTCGAACACGCTACTCTGTTTTTTATGGTTTTTCCCTCAAATCGAACTCCGATGTGCAAATTTGTGCGCTTATTCGCCAAATTAACGAATAACGACTGATTTTAAACGATTTTGTCACAAGAGCTTCCCTCCCTCAGGCGACAAGAGACACATTTGTTATCGATAATGCGCTCGCGAGGCTGTTTATCAGCGCTCGAACCAATCTCCGCGCGAAGTCGGCGCCGGGCCGATCGGTAAATTATTATATATCGAGTCAATGGGCGGTTAAAAAGTATGAAAATCAACCAATCGCGCGCGTACCGCGCACGATAAAACGGATGCCGTCAATCTGTCGTATTTCGCAACACGTATGATGATGTACACATACACAGAAGGCATCCGTAATGAGCCAACATAACCGGACGGTCGCAATTATCGGATCTCTTAGATCATTCTCACGCGCGATAACATCCGATTCTGTGAATTATTCTTCTCTCCGCTTACTCTCGATTCGAGAGCACGGGAGATCACCTTCTCGCTCGATTGGATCTGCGTCAAAAGCAAGCGAGGAAGGAATCGTTTTGTCGAGTTTTTTTTTAAAAAAAAAAAACTTAATTTGTTGTTATTCTTGTTTCTTCGAGGAAAAATTCTCTCGTGTGAAAAATAAAGTAAGAATTGCAAACCATTTGTTTTCCTCGAACGCGAGAATTGAGGCAAACAAAAAACTTGGCGCGTCGAAATAAATCGAGAAATCGTTTTATCGAGTGGTTCTGGTTTAACAAACTGAAGTATCAATGTAAAAAAACTTGTAAACCATCAGAGATAAGGGCCCGTTCGAAGGGTTAACAAGTCCACGACCTCGTTCTATTACGTCTTAATAAGAGACGGGAGAGAGGAACGCGAGCGAGCGAGCAACCGAGCGAGAAATGCAACGAGAGAAGGAAAAGGAGTCGTTTCTCTCTTTGGCGCGAACCCTATTTCGAGTGTTACAGAAATAACATTCGATGCTGCACGCATACTCTCTCGATTTCTTCTTCGAGATCGACGAACGGGAGAATAAAACGCGGCGGAAAGAAAAGACGGGAGAGACCGCCCGATCGCGTCGACGAGGGGCGACACTGAGAAGAAATCTTCTAAAAATGTTGCTCACATCTCATTTGCGCGCGATTGCGGCGTACTCGTATGTACGTAAATAAATTCGTAAAAAACGCATTTTATACGAGAATCGAATGAAGATGCGTCGATTTCCGTTAAGTTGTCGATTCGCGCATTTTAATTCTTCGAGTTGCATTTTATCGCGCGACAACGACGACAACTACGACGACGCCTAGTTTCTCATGATACTCACGTCTGGGTGCTCTTTAACGGGAACATAGACCTTCTCCGTGAGCGTCGTGATGTCGCCTTCGGGTTCCGGTAGAACGAGCGGATCCTTCTTCACCCCGTTGATTTGAAAAAGGCTCGCCCTCACCTTTGCGATCTCTGCAACAAAAATCGATACATCGATCGATCAACGAACGAAGATGATTAACACACACACACGCTCTCGCGTTATTGCGTATCGTGTTATATTATTGACCGACGTTCAATCGGTCTTAATAGATCGCGCGGCTAAGGAATTCAATATACAGGGTGTCCCGCAACGATACAACTCGCGCGCTCCGGAATCGATCAGCTTTTAACACCGCCCGAGGAATCTGGGTTGACCGTTACATCGACGGAGGAGAAAACGAAACGACGCGTAAGCAAAATGGAACGGCCAACAGCGTGTGCATCCTTCATTCGGTTAAAACCGCGCGTCACGTGACACCGCGCGTCAGTCTTTTATGCGCAAGTGACTGTATATAGTATTGGCGTGCGCGTAAGCGCGCGAGGCGTGCACGAGGCATATATATACATACATATACATATATATATATATGTTGCACGCATCGAACGTGTATATACGCGCGCGCACACGCTCTTACGTGTGTGTGTGTATGTGCGGGCGACTTACCCGTGCGTTAAACGGCACCACTAATGACGGCGCTGCCAATGTAACGGCTGGGTGTGGCGCGTTTCGCCTTGGTTGCGTTAAGAAAGGATTGAATAATCTCTCATCGACCGTTTCTGCTCGTACGTTTTTTGTTTTCACAGATGCAGATGGGTAATTATTAAATAAATATAACACGAGACGACAACATCGCGAGCTTGGCACGATTTCGTGCGACTTTTTGAAGAAAAATTGAAATATATATCGCACGCGACGGAAACGCAACAGAACTTCTCTTCGGAGAGAGAGAGAGAGAGAGAGAGAAGATAAGCTCTCTTGTTTATCCCGTTTCCACCGGTACGTACATCGTGCGCGCGCGGCGTCGGATACATATCGCGACGAAGGATCGGCACAGCTCCCATCGCGCAATCCGGTCTTGTGTTCTTACGCGTATATCCGTCGTAGTATGTAAAGGTCAACGTTCCGTGGCTGCCCCACTTTCTCGGCATGCCTGACCTCTTCGGGCTTCTCGTGGTTCCTCTCCTCAGTCCCGATGATCCGCGGCGGCACACGCGACACACAACATCATCGATCCGTTGGCGGGGACGACGAGATCGGCGTAAACCGCAAATCGGCGGCTCTCGCGGTGTCCACCGCGTGATCGCACAAGCAATGTAAGAAACCAAAAAAAAAAAAAAAACAGCAACAAGCTGTTTTCAAACGCGTGATAAGCTCGCGGTGATATGAAAGTTGTCCGATTTCGAAGATTTCCGCTTTATTTGTGTGTGTGTATGTGCGCGCAAGCGCGAGTCATTGTTTTCTTTGCGCACTTACACACAGTCTCGCAAATAAAGCAAGTTCACTCGCCAAGACAGCGTAGATTAATAAATTGCTGTTTTTTGTTTTCTTCAATTTGAAGAGAATAGACCGGGTGTCGCGAAGTACGCGCAAATCGCCTCGATCGCCGCGTTCGCATTTTTTTCTCTTCGCAAATAAGGAATTCGGAGTCAACTGTCTGAGAGAGAGAGAGATCTCGCCGAGGAAGAATTTATTCTCTTCGCGGCGAGATTTCTTCTCGACGGCGCGCGTCATCTCGCTCGCCGCGATTTTCTCGAGAGAATCGCGCGCGCGCGCGAGAGAGAGAGAAGAATAAAGAAAGAAGAGAGAGAGAAAATATAATGCGTCACGCAATTCGCGCGATACGCCCTCGAGGCAAGCTTGCGCGTGTTCTCTCTTCGGTCCGGAGCGTAAAGTGTGCGAGAGGAATTCTCTCGCGAGAGAAGGAAAACGCAGATACGACAACGACGACGACGACGACGACGTGGACGGACAGACACAGATAGAAAAACAGCAAAGGAAGAACAGAGAAGGAGGAGGGGAAGAAATAAAGGAGGGCATCATAGCCGCTTTTAGCACGGCGTAACTTCTCCCGGCCATCTGCGTGACATCAGCTGACCGTCGCTCTTGGGCTCTCCTTCTCTTTTCTCTCCTCTTCCTCGCGCGATTGCGCGTGTCTTCTCGCTCGCTCTTATTCTCCCACGAATTCCTTATCTCTCTCTTTCTCTATCTATCTCTATCTCTCTGCGATGCGCGCGCGTCGATCCAAAATGCGTGATGCGGAGGCGCGTAAATACGCGACGGCTTCCATCTGTATCTTCGTTCAATGTCAACACGACGCGCGCTCGGTCGGGCACCGCATTTCGCATATACCATCTGAAAGCGCGCGCGCGCACGCACCGCAAAAGAATCGCGAAATGTATCAGAAGCGAGGAATGTACCGATGTTATCATATAACGTGTATGTGCGATACACACAATCACACTCTCCGATGCGAAGTCGCATCGCGTGACGCACACACATACACACACACGTGGTGGGTGTGCCAAAGCTGCAACGGTGAGCGCAGAGAATATGCTCATCGCCGCGGCACACGATACAACATCGGTATTATGAGATCACCGATGTTGTAATCGCGGGCCGAGAGAGAGAGAGAGAGAGAGAGATCGCATCACATATACGTGCGACCGCGCGGAAGCCGAATGGATTCATCCTCCATCCGGAGAGACGAATGTTATAGGCACACGAGCTGATTCACCGCTCTCTCTCTCTCGCTCTCGCTCTTTTTTCCTCTCTCGATTTTTGCCATTGTTCGGCGAGTTACCGAGCACACACGTGTTAGGTTACGCGCGCGTTTCGATAATCGCACGAGGAAGAAAAATAAAACGAAGAATAATTTTAAACGAACAATGAGGTTCTTGTTTTTTGTCTATTTGTCTGTCGGAATTTCCGAGAGATCTCGATTGAAAGAAGCAAAATTGATTTTTATTTTTTCCTCCTTTCGGTCGAACGCGTCGCATCGAACTTTAACCGGTTTTTTTCAGCCGAGACAGCGGTAATAGTGCACCTTCCTTGTCGACGAACGTTGCGGGATCGCGCAACGACGACGCTGACATATCACAGCGTCATCAGCTGCTGAATTCCCGAGCGCAAAACTCACAAATGCGACAGAAATGCCGTTACAATAAGAATGCGCGACATACGTCGCCGTTATTGGCGATGAGTCGGTTACGTGATCGCCACTTTTAGCGCTACTGACGACGACGACAACGACGACGACGACGACGACGACGATTTCCATGCGAGTGTTCGAACTGCGTGTCCCCGTACACACAGAAATAATAGTCAATTATTATTCGCGAGACCTCGTTGTTTATCGCGTCGTCGAGAAAAATAATTGCTCGCGTCGCGTCGCAACGGTTTTTTTTCGTCGTCGAACGAATCGATTGTGTGGAAAAATCGATGAATGGGAAATTGCTCTCTTCTCGCGCAGCTACGGGTTTTTCAAATTCGAGCGCGCACGCGAATCCACGGAGATAAATTCGTTTCACTTCTCTGGCGACGACGTGGAGAAGCGCGCGTTACCACATACACACACACACATGCGAGTATGACGACATAAAATTCATATCTGGCTCACCTATTTATCCTACCTCTCATCCCGAAGCAATTCTCAGATTATTTTTGCGCTGTGAGGCAAGCGCGTCTATATTTACACGTGCCGGTGCTCCAGAAATTTTGCGACAAATGCGCGAAATTCGCACGGAGAAACGATTCGTGAAATTCGCGACGAAATAAGCGACCTTTGACTAATACGCGATTCGAGAGACAGACACGCGCTGTGTGTGCGCGTGCGCGCGCGCGCGCGCGTGCGTGTGTATTTGCGAGAAATAATAACTCGTATTCACGCGCATATACACAAGTCTCCGCGAGATAAGCCAAGATTCGTGAAAAGAAAAAAATAAAAAGAAAAAAAGAGTCGGCCGTAATGCGAGTTTTTTTTTTTATTGCGGAGATATATCCTCGCGGCTATCTGTCAAATTGTAAACTGATAAAACGAAGCTGAATTACAAAACGGGGGGGGGGGGGGGGGTTACTGCTTCCCGTTGACGACGGGAAGTCGCGATACCGACGAAATTGCACGACGAAATCGCTGCTTCGTATATAATTCGGCTACGAAAATATCCTCACACGTTTCGCAATTGCGCGGAAAAAGATGATTAATCATCGTGTTAAAAAAAAACAAAAAAAAAAACAAAAACCGAGACTTTCACCGTTGGATCGTACTTCCGACGATTGTTTTATTTTAATTCTGAAATCTCTCGAACACATTGACAAGAATTAAAACTAAAAATCCAAATAAAAAGTCGCGAACGGCAATTGTGTACTCTAACGCAAACACGTCGCCATGTTGTACAATTGAAGACGTCTCTCCTCGCCCTTTACACAAATCACAAGCGTGCCGCGCGAGAAGGATCGTCTCTCGAAAGGTTAACGAGGCGAAAGGGAAGAAGATGCGGCACGCGAAATCACAGTTATGAAGACAACCGGGAGTGAAGGGATAACCGGAGAAAAGTACACCGAGAGTATAGTAGCGGACGAAGAACACAACAGCGTGTGAGCGTGTGCGTTCTGGCGATGTCGCAACAACGATGAAAGTGGAAGCCGAAACAGACGCGGGTATAATATATGTTTTACGAGTGCGACGCACGAATTGCGTCGAGCGCTGCGCGTTTTGACGCCACGAATTCGGAGAATAATTAAATAGTCATTGATAATTAAATAGTAATTAAATAGTAACTAGACGTGAACGAGGCGTGAACGCACTCGATCGCGAGAAGATCGATTTGTTTTTCATTTGCAAAATTCGCCGCACGGATCGGTCATTTTTATCGCGAGACAAGTGCGAGACGCGCGCGCCGTCGTAACGCGGAGGAGATCGCGCGCGAAGAGGAGCCGCCGATGAGGAGATGCCGCGGGACGGCATCATATCGCTTCGCTCCGATCCGGTTCGGTCATCGGCCTCGCGCTTAAACCAGACCCTTAAGGGCCCTAAGAGTTAAAGACCGCGCGCGTACAACAGCACATGTTTTCTCTCTCTCTCTCTCTCTCTTCCCGGACACGAGGCGTTTTGCGCGCCTGAAAATGCGCGCTCGCGTATACACAAACGATC